AAAAAGATTCACACATCATGCCTGACATACCACTTCTGAAGCATTTAAATGGTTTAAAAAAAAATCTAAAGACTTATAGAGTATGTATAATTTTATTATCGATCCAATAGATAACCAGTGTTTGTAATCAGGTAGAGAACTTAGAGCATTTCTGGATTCCAGCATGCCTGCTTGTATCTGCTCAAATACTTAAAAAAAATGTACAAAATAAAACCATTAATTTCATTGTTGCAGTAACAGATGGTGCAAAACAGTGCATTCCAGCCCTAATTGGTCATTTTCTTAAAAAATAACTTTATTTAACAAGACCTTTTTATACAGTTTGCAAATATCGCATAGGGTATAACATTTCCAGGTGTAGCGTAAAAAGAACAATTATACAGACATCCTCCTAGATTACATTCTGCGATATATTGGAAAGTTGAGTCACATAAAAAGTTATCTCGTTTTAATTTTTTCAGTTTAAAGAAACTTGTATAAATAGTAACCTGCTGACCAGAGTCACCCATCGGATACAAATTGATGGGCACAAGGATAGTGGGCTGATGAAGGTCAGAAAGACCAATTCAAAAGGGGGTGAAACCCAAGCGTCTCTTCATGCCATCCACTTTCAGATTTTGGCAATCTTCTGTCTACACAAATTATGTGAAGGCTTGTAGATGAATAGAAAGTGACAAAAATATGTTTATTGCGCGCAGAAAATGAATGGTCCTGTGTGCAAGTCCTGCCAGTTCCTTCTGTAAATTTGGGACACATCATCAACACTTATTTTATAAGTGTGTTCCTAAAATAACAAGAAAGGAAAATAAAATTACCACAAAGATGTTTCCATTTAATCAGATATTTCAGTAATGAATTTCAATGCTGAACGCTAAACTACAGGCAAAAAGCTAAATGCACACATAAAATACACATATAGGAGTTGTTCTATCTGCATATGGATTTGTATATCTTTCCACCTAGTTCTGAGCTATACACAGCTACAAAACACAGCACAGTCCTGCCTGGCTGGAAGGGGGACCTAATATTTATCTGCTGCAGTTTCACTTTCACCGACAGGTCTCCTCCCCACCCTGTGAATGGACAGTAAAAGGAGAAACAGCATATTGATGAGCTAATCTCTCAGCTGTCCTGTTCTCTCTCATCAACATACACCTTGCATTGCCATCCAGTCCAGCCTCCCTCCTCCATAAAAGCATATAAATCAACTGGTTCAAAGAGTTACAAGATCTTTATGAGACCATTTAACACATACTGGGGGATTAAAAAAAAACTTGTGTCATTATTTTGCAACTATGTGACATTGTAAAGTTCACCAAGATGAACTTCAACTATAAATTTGATTAATTAACAATAAAATACAAACCAAAAATTGCGGTAAAATGGCGCATGCTGACTTTTTTTTTTCCTTCTAATAATTCATTAACTGCTTCCCGACCGCCCTATTGCAGATGTACTGTTACAGGGCGGCAGGGATGCACAAAATCACGTATTTGTTTTTCTGGGTAAGGGTGTGTGATTTACTAGGGAGACAAGATGCTTTGTTTTGCTCTGCTGTGCAGAGCAATACAAAGCAGCCTGTTCGTGCTGACAGGGAAGAGATCTGTGTTCTCTTCAAGGGACCAGAGAGAAAGAAGAGGAACAGGAAACCAGAGCTAGGGGTTACTACTGAGAGAGGAATCAGCGTAGCTGGAGATTACGATTTAACAGGGATCAGCAGAGAAAGGGGCTACTGCTTAGTGGGTCATCAGCAGAGCTGGAAGTACTATTGAGCAGGTGATCTGCTGAACAAGAGTGCTAATAAGCTGGGGATCTGCTGAACAGGGGTACTAAAAAGCTGGGTGTCTGCTGACTGGGGATACTAACGAGCTGGGGTTCTATTGGGCCCCTTTAAAACAAATAGAAAATCAACACACACATGGCATTTGCCAAGCTTCATTAAAGCTTCAAAAAAGCATCAGTGAAGCATCAAAAACATCAAAAAAGCATATTGAAAGTGGTAGGCGCTTGTGTGTTGAAGTGTTAATTCGCCCTAACTGTCTGGCACTTCAATAAGTGAGGCAGTAGATGGGTGATATGATCCATTTCAGCTAACATATGTAGAAACCTATACAGTATCTCACAGAAGTGAGTACACCCCTCACATTTTTGTAAATATTTTATTCTATCTTTTCTTGTGACAAACACTGAAGAAATGACACTTTGCTACAATGTAAAGTAGTGAGTGTACAGCTTGGATAGCAGTATAAATTTGCTGTCCCCTCAAAATAACTCAACACACAGCCATTAATGTTTAAACCGTTGGCAACAAAAGTGAGTACACCCCTAAGTGAAAATGTCCACATAGGGCCAAATTACCCATTTTGCCTCCCCGGTGTCATGTAACTCGTTAGTGTTACAAGGTCTCAGGTGTGAATGGGGAGCAGATGTGTTACATTTTGGTGTTATCGCTCTCACTTTTATACTGGTCACTGGAAGTTCAACATGGCACCTCATGGCAAAGAACTCTCTGAGGATCTGAAAAAAAGAATTGTTGCTCTACATACAGTGAAGGAAACAAGTATTTGATCCCCTGCTGATTTTGAATGTTTGCCCACTCACAAAGAAATGATCAGTCTAAAAAACGAATGCCAGGTGTATTGTAACACTGAGAGACAGAATAGCAACACAAAATTCAAAAGAAATGCATGTCTAACAAATTATGCATGGATTTGCATGTTCATAAGGGAAATTAGTATTTGATCCCCTTCACAAAACATGACTTAGTACTTGGTGGCAAATCCCTTGTTGGCAATCACAGTGGTCAGATGTTTCCTGTAGTTGGCCACCAGGTTTTCACATATCTCAGGAGAGATGTTGGCCCAAGCCTCTTGGCAGATCCTCTCCATGTCATTAAGGTTTGGTGGCTGATGTTTAGCAACTCGAACTTTCAGCTCCCTCCACAGATTTTCAATCGGATCAAGGTCTGGAGACTGGCTAGGCCACTCCACGACCATAATGTGCTTCTTCTTGAGCCGCTCCTTTGTTGCCTTGGCCGTGTGTTTTGGGTCATTGCCATGCTGGAACACCCATCCACAATCCATTTTCAACGCCCTGGCTGAGGGAAGAAGGTTCTCACCCAAGATTTGACAGTACATTGTCCAGTCCTTCATCCCTTTGATGCGGTGCAGTTGTCCTGTCCCCTTAGCAGAAAAACACCCCCAAAGCAGAATGTTTAAACCACCATGTTTAACAGTTGGGATGGTGTTCTTGGGGTCATATGCAACATTCCTCCTCCTTCAAACGCCGCAAGTTGAGTTGATGCCAAAAAGCTCAATTTTGGTCTCATCTGACCACAACACTTTCAACCAGTCCTCCTCTGTATAATTCAGATGTTCAGTGGCAAGCAAACTTGAGACGGGCCTGGACATCTGCTTTCTTGAGTAGAGGCACCTTGAGGGCACTGCAGGATTTCAATCCTTGTCGGCATAGTGTGTTTATCAATTGTTTTCTTGGTGACTGTGGTCCCAGCTGCCTGGAGATCATTGACAAGATCGTCAAGTGTAGTTCTGGGATGATTCCTCACTGTTCTCATGATCATTGAGGCCTCTTCTAAAGATGATGCACAAGAAAGCCTGCAAACAGTTTGCTAAAGACTGCAGACTAAAGAGATGGATTATTGGAACCATATCCTGTGGTCTGATGAGACCAAGATAAATGTATTTGGTTCAGATGGTGTCAAGCGTGTGTGGCAGCAACCAGGTGAGGAGTACAAAGACAAGTGTGTCTTGCCTACAGTCAAGCATGGTGGTGGTGGGAGTGTCATGGTCTGGGGCTGCATGAGTGCTGCTGGCACTGGGGAGCTACAGTTCATTGAGGGAACCATGAATGCCAACATGTACTGTGACATACTGAAGCAGAGCATGATCCCCTCCCTTCGGAGACTGGGACGCAGGGCAGCATTCCAACATGATAACGACCCCAAACACACCTCCAAGACGACCACTGCCTTGCTAAAGAAGCTGAGGGTAAAGGTGATGGACTGGCCAAGCATGTCTCCAAACCTAAACCCTATTGAGCATCTGTGGGGCTTCCTCAAATGGAATGTGGAGGAGTGCAAGGTCTCTAACATCCACCAGCTCTGTGATGTCGTCATGGAGGAGTGGAAGAGGAGGACTCCAATGGCAACCTATGAAGCTTTGGTGAACTCCATGCCCAAGAGGGTTAAGGCAGTGCTGAAAAATAATGATGGCCACACAAAATATTCACACTTTGGACCCAATTTGGACATGTTCACTTAGGGGTGTACTCACGTTTGTTGCCAGCGGTTTAGACATTAATAGCTGTGTGTTGAGTTATTTTGAGGGGACAGCAAATTTACACTGTTATACAAGCTGTACACTTACTACTTTACATTGTAGCGAAGTGTCATTTCTTCAGTGTTGTCACATGAAAAGATAGAATAAAATATTTACAAAAATGTGAGGGGTGTACTCACTTCTGTAAGATACTGTACATTATTGTCTCTTTTATAAATAACCCCAGTCCAGAACACAGAAAGTAAAAACCAAGTCTAGATAATTTCTGATTAAAGAGAGGTGAAGACAGTGCTAAGGGGAATACTGTAATCTCTGAATGGTAATCACCTAAAAAAGTGTTACACTTTACATTGACAAACATATACCTAATGTAAAAATATCGGACTCTTGGTCTTCTTTAAATCTTCAGCACTCACCAAAAACTAAAATATCCATAGTGGAAGGACTAACTCTTTCAAAATGTAAATGATTAAAAAAAACAAACAAAAATGATGTAACCTGAACAGTACTTAAATGTGCTTATGTAGCAGTTGTGCAAGAAAAAGGAGTACTTGTATTTCTGGAAGAGGGCCACTGTGAACAGGAACTACATTTCACAGGTAATTCAAACACTGTACACATACATGTACTAGATATTCTGTCACAGATCAGAGTTTTTATACGACCAACTAGTGTGCTGGGTATAAACAAGGCTATGCCAACATTTAGTCAATTTTGTTACTCACGCTGTCATACTCTTCCCACTCCCACTAAGGACAATATAAGGGGTCTTCTGAGCCTTCTGCTTTTCCTGCAGGAGTGCCACTGTACCAAGTGGGGTATCACTGGAACTCATTTTCTTTAAAAGCTGGTAAGAAAAAGTGAAACCTCCCATTTAGATTCTGCACAAACATGTCAACATCTGCACTTACATATATTTCTTAGTTAATTTAGTGGAAGCTTTGTGGGTCACTGGTATAAGCAAACCTGGATTGCAAAAAACAGACTACAAATGAGATTTCTATATCCAACCTATTCATAGTTCTTCCATATTAAAGCATCAAATATCTGGGCTTAGAAAAGATTACACTTTAACATTTCTTTATTACTGCATCAAGACTTACTGCTTCCTCATCCAATTTTTTCATGCGTTTCTCTGTCTTCATTTTTCCTGAGCCTTTGCCATGGAACCGATGAGACAGCTGTCTAAAAGCCTGTGCCAAAAAAAGAGAAAAAAAAAAAAACCAAAAACTGTAAAAGTTGTCCATTTGAAGGCAACAAGGAAAAAAAGGTGGGGTGAAGCTTACCTCCTTTGGACAAAGCTTTCTTCCAGTCTCATCCACGTACTCAATCTTCACATCTGGCCTGTAGCCTTCCTTTTCCTTGAATTCTTGTGTAAACCCTCTGTACTCTTCCCTCCTGCTATACTTGTCATCTATTGCCCTATTTAACAAGTGAATGTTTGTTAAAATGATTTTAAAAATATCTAACATTCAACAGTCATGCTCATTATTAATTTATGTTCTATATGCTTGATGTTTCTTCCTATGTTAGCCCCCCAGCAGGAAAAGTAATTCCCTGCCAAAACAGTAAAAGTTGACCAATACACACACTGATACACAGCAATCTCATTTTTCACCCACTGAAACAAAGGGAAGCTGTACATTTACTTAATCCATTTATACTGTATTACACAAACTATTAGTCATTTTTTAAAAGCTATTAAAAGTGCAACTTCAACCAAGATGGTTTTGGGTGGAGTTGCCCATTGACGTCAATATGACCATGCTGCAGCTGCATGCCAGATATTGCTATGGTGGTTGCAGCATGGTAGTTCAATGTAAAATTCCCAATGGGACAGAAAAAAATATCCCCCGAAGATCAAAAACAGGTGTGCAAGAGGTGCCAGTATCACCTCCTGATCCCTGTAAACTGGCTCTAAACTCTACCTCTGAAATGATCCACTGCAGATGACTTTTCAGGGGGGCAGTAGAGCTTGGCTCCTATATCAAAGGCCCTTAAATAAGCCTTAAGGGCATAAAGTGGAACAGAAAGAATATTTTGAGTCCTTCAACCCTCCCAAACACCTAAACGACTCAGATCTCAAACCAAGTTGTAGCGTTCCTTGGACTTTGGTGAGAAAAGGACATTAGAAAATCCCCCTGAAATTTGGAGCTGGCCGATTTGGCTTGCACAGCTCTTTGCAGAATATAATGGCAAAAACAACCCCCCCCCCCCCCTTCCACCACCACCAATTTGGTAACCTTTATGGGTTTTCATATCATATTCTCTGGAGTCAAGTATCCCATGCATAACCTGCTGGCTTAATGTTTCAGAAAATTATGCCAAGCCCTGGCTGAGCATAAGTTGGGAAAATGCTACAACCTGGTTTGAGGTCAGATTTTTTATTTGATTAAGTATACCTGTAAAGAAGGACTAGAAAGTGTATGTGGACAATCAGGACAAAATATGTATTAATTTAGTTACACTTTAGGAATATAAAAACTTGAAAACGAAATAAAAATTATTTTGTTGTGAATTCTTTTTCTTACAATGCACTGAATTCTACTAGCATTTACAGAAAGCTTATGTTCAACTTTATTTAAATGAAGCCTCTATTTTCTAACTATACTGAATGTGTCACTATTTGTTAAGCACAGGAGACCTTTAGGTCACAATATTACATACATTTTGTCTTCTATACAATATACAGCTGATGGAAGGGATTTATTGGGAGCTTTGACACGTGCCACTTTGTGTACCGTTGTCTCCAGCAGACCTGTGAGAAAACACCAAAATGGTTTGTAAATACAGTGCACTTGCGTATTACCAAATAAATAATAATATATATAATTTTTTTATTTTTTATTTCATATACACATACACATTATATTGCCAAAAGTATTGGGACACCCCTTCAAATCATTGGATTCAGGTGGCCCAATCACCAACATGGCCACAGGTAGGTGTATAAAATCAAGCACCTAGGCATGCAGACTGCTTCTACAAACATTTGTGAAAGAATGGGTCGCTCTCAGAAGCTCAGTGAATTCAAGCATGGTAACATGATAGGTTGCCACCTGTGCAAGAAGTCCATCCATGAGATTTCCTTGCTACTAAATATTTATATTGTAAAGTGCTGAGCAAACTGTTGGCACTACATAAATCCTGAATAATAATTTCAGTCAACGGTTAGTGGTATTCTAAAAAGTGGAAGCAACTGGGAACAGCAGCAACTCAGCCACAAAGTGGTAGGTCTCGCAAAATGACAGAGCGGGGTCAGCGCATGCTGAAGAGCACAGTGCGCAGAAGTCGCCAACTGTCTGCAGAGTCAATAGCTAAAGACCTCCAAACTTCATGTGGCCTTCAGATTAACACAACAGTGCTTAGTGAGCTTCATGGAATGGGTTTCCATGGCAGAGCAGCTGCATCTCATCCTTACATCACCAAGTGCAATGCAAAGCGTTGGATGCAGTAGTGTAAAGCACGCCGCTACTGGACTCTAGAGCAATGGAGAGGTGTTCTCTGGACTAACAAATCGCGCTTCCCTGTCTGGCAATCCGACGGACGTGTCTGGGTTTGACGTTTGCCAAGAGAATGGTACTTGCCTGACTGCATTGTGCCAAGTGCAAAGTTTGGTGGAGGGGGGATTATAGTGTGGGGTTGTTTTTCAGGGGTTTGGCTGGGCCTCTTATTTCCAGTGCAGGGAACTCATAATGCGTCAGCATACCAAGATATTTTGGACAATTTCATGCTCCCAACTTGTGGGAACCAGTGCAGAAAGTAAGGTCGGTAAAGACATGGATGAGCGAGTTTGGGGTGAAGGAACTTGACTGGCCTGCAGAGAGTCCTGACCTTAACCTGATAGGATACCTTTGGGATGAATTAGAGTGGAGACTGTGAGCCAGGCATCAGAGCCTGACCTCACAAATGCACTTCTGGAAGAATGGTAAAACACTCCCATAGACACACTCCTAAACCTTCTGGACGCCTTCCTAGAAGAGTTGAAGCGGTTATAGCTGCAAAGAGTGGGCCAACTCAATATTTACCACAAACACTATATTGCCAAAAGTATTGGGACGCACATGAGCTTTAATGGCATCCCAGTTTTAGTCCGTAGGGTTCAATATAGAGTTGGCCCACCCTTTGCAGCTATAACCGCTTCAACTCTTCAGGGAAGGCTGTCCACAAGATTTAGGAGTGTGTCTATGGAAATGTTTGACCATTCTTCCAGAAGCATATTTGTAAGGTCAGACACGGATATCAGACGAGAAGGCCGGGCTCACAGTCTCCGCTCTAATTCATCCCAAAAGTGTTCTATCGGGTTGAGGTCAGGATTCTGTGCAGGCCAGTCAAGTTCCTTCACCATAAACTCGCCCATACATGTCTTTATGGACCTTGCCTTGTGCACTGGTATGCAGTCATGTTGGAACAAGAAGGGGCCATCCCCAAACTGCTCCAACAAAGCTGACGCCTTCCCTTCACTGGAACTAAGGGGCCAAGCCCAACCCCTGAAAAATAACCCCACACCATATTCCCCCTCCATCCAACTTTACACTTGGCATAATGCAGTCAGGCAAGTAACGTTCTGCTGGTAACCCAGACACGTCCATTGGATTGCCAGACAGAGAAGCGTGATTCGTCACTGCAGTGGTGGCGTACTTTACAACACAGCATCCGACACTTTGCATTGCCCTTGGTGATGTAACGCTTGGATGCAGCTACTCGACCATGGAAACCCATTCCATGAAGCTCTCTATGTACTGTTGTGCTAATCTGAAGGCCACAGGAAGTTTGGAGGTCTTACCTACCACTTCATGGCTGAGTTGCTATTGTTCCTCATTGCTTCCACTTTGTTATAATACCAATAACAGCTGAACGTGGAATATTTAGTAGCAAGGAAATTTCACAGAGGGACTCATTGCACAGGTGGCAACCTATCACAGTACCATTCTTGAATTCATTAAGACCCTGAGAGCGACCTATTCTTTCACAAATGTTTGTAGAAGGAGTCTGCATGCCTAGGTGCTGGATTGTATACACCTGCGGCCATGGAGGTGATTGGAACACCTGAATCCAATGATTTGGAGGGGTGTCCCAATACTTTTGCCAATATAGTGTACATACACACTGGGCATTCAAGTCAAACCAGGACTTTTAATTTTACAGGTATAAAAAGAGATGTTAGTGTGGCGGTACTACACACAGTACTAAATGGAAAGTGTGCCTTATTACTGATAGGCAGCGCACATGTCGCTGGCCAGTCCAGAGACCGTTTTCAAGATGGCAGACATTGGTGTTTGTGTGTGCATGGAACAGCATGTGGGGATGAAGTTTCTTGTGAACGAAGGCATAAAACCCGCGGTTATCTACAGAAGACTTCAAGCACATTACGGTCATGAGACCCTCAGCTGCAGTAAGACATTTAAATGGTGTAAACGTTTCAAAGATGGCCATACATTGGCCAGTGACAATTCCAGCTGTGGTGGTTCCCAGAATTTGCTATCCCGTGGTGCCACGATCAACCGTGAATATTGCTGTCGTGTTTTGAGTGATGTCCATGCAGAAAAAACAGCCTGGTTTGATCACTAAGGGCATCCTGTTTCCTCAGGTCAACGCACAAACTCACACTGCTAACTGCACGACGTTCACATTTCAGCAACTCGGCTGGGAGGTATTGCCACATCCCCTTGCAGCCCGGACCTCTCTCTGAGTGATTTCCATCTGTTTAGACCCTTAAAAGAGTTCCTCGGAGGTCAGCATTTCAGCACTGTTGACGAAGTGAAGCAAGCTGTTCTAGGATGGTTCAGGCATACTGACAAATCTTTCCATGCCAAAGCTTTCCAGGCATTAAATGCTGGGATAAGTGTATACATGTAGCAGGGGAGTATGTCTAAAAATAAATGTAGTTTCCACTCCTCGTGTGTATATATTTATATATGTTATATACACACATACGAACGTGAAAGTTTGAACGAGGCATGGTTGTTGATTACCAGACGAGCTGGTCTGAGTATTCCAAAAACTGCTGATCTACTGGCATGTTCATGCACAACTATCTCTAGGGTTTACAGAGAATGGTCCGAAAAAGAGAAAATATCCATTGAGTGGCAGTTGTGTGGCCCAAGTGGGCAGACATTTGAAAGGATAGAAAAGCAAGAATAACTCAAATAACCACTTGTTACACCCAAGGTATGCAGAATACCATCTCTGAACACACAACACATTGAAACTTGAAGCAGATGGGCTACAGCAGCAGAAACCCACACAGGGTGCCACTCCTTTCAGCTAAGAACAGGAAAAGGAGACTACAATTCAGGCACAAAAAAAAAAACGTTGTTAGGTCTGATGAGTCAATTTCAGCTGTGAAATTCAGAATTTGGTGTAAACACGAAAGCATGGATCGATCATACATTGCATCAACAGTTCAGGCTGGTGGTGGAGGTGTAATGGTGTGACAGGATATTTTCTTGGCACACTTTGGGCCCCTTAGTACCAATTGAGCATCGTTTAAACTCCACAGCCTACCCGAGTTTTGTTGCTGACTATGTCCATCCCTTTATGACTACAGTGTACCAATCTTCTGATGGCTACTTCCAGCAGAATAATGCACCATGTCACAAAGCACAAATCATCTCCAACTGGTTTCTTGCACATGACAATGAGTTCACTGTACTCCAATGGCCTAAACAATCATCAGATCTCAATCCAATAGCACACGTTTGGGATGTGGTGGAACGGGAGATTCTCATCATGAAGCTGCAGCCGACGAAGCTGCAGCAACTGCGTGATGCTATAATGTCAATATGGACCAAAATCTCTGAGGAACATTTCCAACACCTTACCTTGTTAAATCTATGCCACAAAGAATTAAGATGGTTCTTAAGGCAAAAGGGGGTCCGACCTGGTACTAGCAAGATGATGAGTGAACACACACACACACACACACACACACACTCTACAAGAACACATTTTTACCTTTGTTCTGACAAAGATGTAAAGCAGCAGCCAGACCTCTGTTTACAATCGGCTCTTCATCCAAAATAGTTGTTGAAGCTGCAGAAAACTAAAAAGTGGGAAATAATGTATACAGGAATATGGTCAACAATGTAATCAGATCGATTACACATCTCATGTTTAAGATTTATCGCTTTAAAAGGAAGCCTGCAGCAGCCTAGAATACCTTGCTTTATGGTTGAATGCTGGCCATTTCTGACAGGCAAAGCTTTGATAGCTACCAGGTACTGATGAAGGTTTAATCGCTCTGGTAAATAACAGTAAAATCTTTTTCTGCATCTATTGAGGCACACAGACTGATAATAAGCAATTCTGGGTTGTACTGGAAAGAAATGACTCTAGACACATAGGGTAACACCTTTAGATTATAACCCTTCCCACCTCACATCTACTTGGTTGTAGCGAGTAATCAAAAAAAAAAAATGGCATAAAAAAGGTAGTGTTTTTTACTTACTGTAAATTCCTTTTCTCGGTTTCTTGCACCCCACTGAGGGACACAAGAATTCAGAGATTGTCAGATTATACTGCTACCTCTACAGCAGGACTGGATAGCAGGAAACAAACAAAAATAAAGTTTTTTTCTTTTAAAGCAGTACCAAGATCAAGATCATAGCCAGATGGCTGAGACACGTATCTCTCAAATGGCTTCAAGAAAGGACTTTACAGTGCATACATAATTGCCATTTTCTTTTTTGTCCATTGAGGGAAAAAGGAATTCAGAGGTTGTTGGTACATCCAAAAGCAGTCCAACTGAGGGGTGAGCAACAGCACACAATACACTAATAGGCCTACAAAAATAACTGAACAGGGACTGCTTGCAGCTCAATGAGCTACCTGAAGGACCTTAAATTTGAAGATCAAATGAGGTCTGCAGAATGTGTGAACAGAAGAAGTTGTAGCCTTGCAAATCTGGGAAACTGTTGCTAGACTCTGAAAAGCCCAAGAAGCGCTCACAGATCTCGTATTGTGCAAGATGACAGGAATGGGTGGCAACCAATCATTGAGACCATAATTACTATCTGATATTACTTCTAGGACTTTTTTTTTTTTAGTGCAAGCCACATAGAGCTTAAAGCAGAACTACACTGTATCAGACCTCCAGCGAAGAAAAAATGCTATTTTATTCATTTTTATTATTCAGAGCAAACTCCCCTGTCCATCCATATCTCCATGTTTTATTTTGATGAGAAATCAGTTTGAAAAACACCCCATACAATTTCTGGCCATGGCCATCATTAGTACGGGCAGGTGATTCATGTAGCATTTACTTCCTGGAATCCATCTGCCCTTAGTTCAGGCATACAAGCAGGAGGGTGTGCTTAGCTGAGAAAGCACCTCCTCTCCACATGAAAACTCCTGGGATGCATGATATTATTTGCCTAGGCAAGAAACCAGGAAGTAACTAAAGAAATGTAAAAATAACAGTTTAAAATAAGTAAATATAAAACACTTTCCTATCTATTCACTAATTCTGGCAGCATAAGGATTAAAAATACTCAATGTTGATTAGTAGAGTGAAGTTCTACTTTAATATCAACGTCATTCAAACACACACAAAAATATAAAGATTTATTCATTTGATAAAATACATATATACATACTTCTCTTAATGAATGAGTCAGTAAAAAGGATTCATAGATTTCCTGATGACTCTTCTGAGATTTAAAAAAAAAAAAAAAATGCATTTACGTCAGTAGACGCCCTTCCACCTCCTGGTGGGGGGGCGAACCTTCACTGTGATGATGGCTTGTGAGCAGGTTCAACTGGGCTTACCCATGAAGGGTCTGCCACGAAAGGATAAACCGCAGTAGATGATGATCCCTGCAGGGGCCAAACAGATTATACACTAAGGTAGAGGAGAACAAATCAACAGGAAGGTGATTGCAAATCAGGGGTGCGCAATCTTTTGAAGAGCAAGGGCCACTTAAGTGGTTTGGTAAGCAGTCGTGGGCCACAATCAAATTAAATGGTTCAGAATTTCGAATTTCTTATTTTAAATATCATAATGAACATTTTCCTCTTGCAGCCCCTGGAGTATGAAGCAGGGTTGCCATTGCGTCTCCTGACGCTTCACCAGTGGTGGTGGTGGGGAGAGTCGCATGTGGTAAAAAAAAAAACCCACCTGTCCCCCAAACCGCAAATGTAACCGAGCTCCATATAAGGCTGCTTTCACACCGATGCACTGCAATTTACCCAAACCATGGGTGCATCCAGGGGCGGACTGACCATTTGGAACTCGGACACGGGGTCAGTAGGGGGCCCCATGAGATGCCCCTGGTACTTTTTTCATAGGCTTTGTTGAGTTTGGGCAAGGACACAGGGGCCCCATGATCCCCTATTGCCCGGGGGCCCCATGAGTTGTCAGTCCGCCTCTGGGTGCAGCACATCTGCGTCTTTCCTGCGGTTTAGCTGCACTTTGCCAGACTTCTATTATATCTTGCGGGGGTGGTGCACTTTCTGATAGTGCACCAAAACTCCTGCATTCAGTTCGAGAGCCACATCAGAGGGCTCCGAGGGCCACAGGTTGAGCACCCCTTTTGTAGATAGTAGGGCAAGAACCCCTCCTTTTTGTAAATGCCTCAATGTATTACTCGAGCATTTCCAAAGAGGAGCATCCGCAAAAGGTACCTTTATGAGCAGGGTCAGTTGACCAAGCTCAAAGCCATAAAATTCTGTGCCTATGCACATCTACACGGAATAGTGGGGCCAAGGGCAAAATCTGTAGTCTTGCAGTGAGAACAGGATAATCTATATCAGGAGAAAGTGCGCTGTTGTGTTCTCCAGTCCAGTTTGCCATTATCTGGGAAATGGACAGCGGCAAAAGCCGGCTTCAGGGCTGAACTTGCCATACTAAAAGGGGAATTCAAGAGTCTCCAAACATCTATCAACTGAATCCTTAAAGGATACTGCCAGGAACCAGTGTGTAAAGGTACAGGGAAATCATGTCTTACTTTTTCAATGTCTCTGGTCTCATCCAGGGCCCAGGAATCACCTACCATGGTGTGAATATCCCCGAAGGGGTCTTCAGGGTCTGGGTGTCATAAAAATGAACCACAGTTCTGGACCTGTATAGATTGCTGCAGTCAACTACATTCATTGCACCACGTGCCAAGGTGAGAGTCTAACACAGGATCCAGAGCCCGAAGCAAGCATTAAAGTCTGGCCCTGCTTCTGCAAAGTACAGTGGGTATAAACAAGAATCACCCTCTTTAAAATAATTACATTTTGTTGCTTTGCAGCCTGAAATAAAGACAGTTTTTGTTTAATCCAGCTGTATTTACTCTGTGCAACTCATAAAATCCAAGTGAAAGATATAACACCAACTTATCAGAAAAAATTTTAAAAATTTCAGCAGAATCACAGAGTTGGTAAAAGGATCACCCCCTCCTTAAAATGACTCAATCAAGTGTAGCTAACCACGTTCTCAATGGCACAAAAAAAACATTTGATTTTCAACTGTGATCAGCTGTGGTAATTTTTATTAGCTCAGCATGAAAATAGCTTTCCTGGAGCACTTAATGCAGGCCATAGATGGGTCGAAAATCGGCCGATTTTTCGGCCGAAAATAAAATCGGCCGATTTTCGGATCGTTAGTGGGCTATTTGTTCAGCCGTTTTTCGGTATTTTGGCCATTTTTTTTAATCGGGAAAGTTGGAAAAAAATCGGCCGATTTTGCCGATCGGCCGATTTTCGCGGCAATAATGGGCTAATCGGCCGATTTTTTTACCTATAAAAAATCTGCGCATGAGCAGTGACCTGCAAGAGGAAGACAAAAAAAAAAAAAGAAGAAGAAGAGGATGATGATGATGAAGAGGATGATGATGAAGAAGTAGTAGAAGAAGAAGAGGATGATGATGAAGAAGTAGTAGAAGAAGAAGAGGATGATGATGAAGAAGAAGTAGAAAGAAGAAGCGGATGATGATGAAGAAAGAAGAAGAAGAGGATGATGATGAAGAAGTAGAAGAAGAGGATGATGATGAAGAAGTAGAAGAAGAGGATGATGATGAAGAAGAAGAAGAAGAGGATGATGAAGAAGTAGAAGAAGAAGAAGAGGATGATGATGAAGAAGAAGAAGAAGAAGATGAAGAAGGAGAAGAAGAAGGATGAAAATAAGAGGAATTCAAGTCCGGCAAAAAGTGTCTCTGCAGAGAGCTCCGCTATTTCTTTGACAGTTCTTTGACAGTTCCTTGACATTTACAGCGGTTGCAACATTGTATCTATTTGATTCTGAATAAAAACATCTGTATCCTAAATGGATACAAATAGATACATTGTTGCAACCTCTGTAAATGTCAAGGAACTGTCAAAGAAATAGCAGAGCTCTCTGCAGGGACACTTTTTGCCGGCTGTAGACGGGATGAAAATCGGCCGATTTTGTTTACCATTGGTGGTAACGTCGGCCACTTGAACGACCGATTTTTCGTTTTTTTAAAAGAAAAATCGGACGATTTTCGACCCATCTATGGCCTGCATTAGTCCCTGGTAGTGCAACTGAAGCAATCAATCAACTATGGGTGGCAAGAAGTTATTAGGTACAACACAGACCCTCCCTGGATCAGGACGTCATTCCAAACTGGATGAAAGAGCCAGAAGGAAACTGGTCAGAGAGCCTACCAAGAGGTCTACAGCAAATCTGAAGCAGTTGCAGGAATTTGACATGAGTGGTCATTGTGTGCATGTGAAAACAATATCACAAATTCTCCAATAATGTGGCTTGTATGGGAGGGTTGCAAAAACTCCTCAAGAAAGGTCACATGCAGGCACAACTGAGCTTTGCCAAAACGCACCTTGTAGATTCTGAGGCCACATGGAAAAAGGTGGTATGGTCAGATGGGACTAAAATGTAATTATTTGACCTCAACACTAAATGATATGTCTGGCGGAAATCCAATACAGCTCACCATCCAAATAACACCATTCCTACAGTAAAGCATGGAAGTGGTAATATCTTGTTATGGAGGTGTTTCTCTACAGCAGGGACTGGAGCACTTGTCAGGATAGAAGGAAAAATCGATGGGGCAAAATACCATCAAATTCTTAAGGAAAATC